TGTGCAGCACATTTTATGGAGGACTGTTTCCTGATCCTGGGAGAGTAGACTACAATGCCAGCTGTTCTGACTCACAGTCTGTAAGTACGTTTTCATTTAAAGGATTTGCCACTGATGATTCAAACGCGAGTTTTGAGCACTGTAGAGTAGCGCTTGTAGTTTGTCATTTCTCCGATCATAAATGCAGACATGGTTTTATGTTTGCACGGCGCGATGCAACACGTAAAAAGACAGTATAAGTCATTATAATCAGTAATTATGTCCCCACTGTATGCAACAAATGCCTCGTTGATAATGGGTTTTCATGTTTTTTGTTTCGTCGCTCCGGCCGGGACACGGCATCGGCAGTATGGTGAGGGGCATATAATTTCCGTCACACGCTTGAGGTATTCGGCCAATCACAATAAGCTTTGTAAAAATCGACGCGTTTCAAAAAGGCGGTGCATAGAGGAGAAACAATAATGTACAGTATGTGGAAAATAATGTGTATTTTTTTCTTTAAACCACATAAACACATTTCATTACACCAAATAATGTTATTTTTAGCAGCATCATATGACCCCTTTAAGATGGAGAAACATCTTAGGAATGTGAGAAAGATGCAGACCAGGACATGTATAATGATAATATGCAAAAAAAAAAAAAGGTTACATTTTGGGGTGAAATATGACCGGCACAAGTAAGAAGCTGCATTTGGTGGTTATTAGTATTGCCTTTATTGATATTGATTATTACTGCAATAAAGCTGTGGCAAACTGTATTAATCCCTAGTATCATCAAAAAAGCTTTTTATACTTGGTAGAATCTGGTTGCTATATTTGTAAGGCTTTGGCTGTCTTTGTTTATTGTGTCAATATTAAATCAATTTTCAAGCACTTTGGAGCCCAGTTTGTAAATGCCAGATTAATGTGATGAACCATCGCTTTTATGCATCATAATTCAGTTTAGTGCTCTGTTTGTTCTGTTAGTTGGTTACAAATAAATTAACTGTATGCACACAAACTGAAAACTGATTGAGCCTGATTAAGGTAAGCATTTATTCTTGCATCGGCCAAATCCATAATTCACTGCCTATTGAAAACCACAATATTTACAATTATAATGGCCACTCGACTGTGAACATGATTCATGGCATATCTACTCTAATGCTCTAACAAGGGCTCCACATAAATGCTACATTACATGCTACACAGGATCACAAATAACCTCATAAAACATGTCATTGCTATTTTTCTTTTGTGTTCAGATGAAATATGGCTGTATTTTGTTTCTAACCAAGCAAACGGATAAACTGAGGTGTCATACAGCTCTATACATCTCAGTACCCATTTTACAGTTTGTTTAGAATCTGTCTTTGATAGCTCAAAAAGGTTTTATATAGGGTCCCACCAGCCCCCTCTTTCATCTTCGTTAAAGTTTGTTTGTTGTGGTTGTTGTGTTAGCTTACAGAATGCAATTTTTTTGTAAAGCTGCTATTAAAAATGGCTATTATGTGAGCATGTGTGCACGTTTGAGTGTGCGGGGGACACCAGATCCTTCTGTCGCAAGGGCTCCAGATGGTACGAGGAAAAAGCCTTGCTTTAATCTCATGCCCAGGATAAACCAAAACTCAAAATGTAACTTACTATAAACTTGTTTCACTGTACGTTGAACTGACTGACTGTTTTTGTCACATTCTCTGTTTACTTTAGTCAATAAGTTCTCCATCTTTCATCACTGCATTTTGTCTCTCTTTACTTCCCCATTCTCTTTAGTTTGCACTCAGTAGCGTAACATTATTGTGGTCTTATATTTTCAGCGTGTCAGTGTGTGCCTTCATGAACACATGTGTGTACAATTGGCAACCACATGCTACTTGTTTACCGATTGGCTTTCATCTTTTATGTGCGTTAGAAATAGAGTACATTAACACAGCTCTCACATGGCCTAGATATTACAGCAGAATTCATTACCGGCGAGTCTCTGGGGATTAACTTTCCTTTGTTTTGCTACAAATGCTAGATTAATGTTCTCTCATCCTCTCTATTCACACACAGACCTTCTGCTCCTTCTGCTGTTTTTATCATTCAGAAGACATTTATATACTTTAATTCTTCTGCAGTCATACCATTACACATAATACAGTTTTTATGTTTGCACTTTTAAGGTAAAAGTTATAGCATACAGATTATTTATTTATTTTGCATTATTTATGTGCATAATTTTAAGTTTTAACTCTACATTATAGAGTTTCATATAATTAAATGAGGTGTATTTTATTTACTTATTTAGTTTGCATTGTGACATTTCAAGCTTAATATTTGTATTATAAGATTTTGTATAATTAAATTAAGCTTATTTATTTGTTTATGAGTTTGTTTATCATGATATTAATGTACGCTTTAACTTTGTAAGAATTGTATAATTTAATATAATTTAATATAGCCTATTTTAATTATTTATTTTGTATTGTGACATTAGTTTAAGCTCCCAACTTTGTATAAATTATATATAAATTATACATTTATATATATAATTTTAATTGTAAAAAGTCTATTTATTTATTTATTTTATTTGTTTTTGCAATCTTACATTCTTTTAAAATTTTGTAACAAAAAAAAAACTTTGTATAATTTGCAAAGGGTCCTTGTCTATTCCAACAGGACAATGCTGTGTGCATTAAGCAAGGTTAATATCAAAATATTTGCGGAGTCCTGTGTTTAAGAACTGGCCTGCTAAAAATACAAATCTGAACTCCATTGAACACCTTTGGGATGAAATGGGATCAAATCCTCACAGACATTCTAACATCTAATACAATGTCTTTCCAGAAAGATGGAGGCTGATAGCAGGACCAACTCTCTATTAATTCAAATGGTTTAGTGTAATTTACCCTTTGGCACTAAGATTTGCAGATCTCTTCCTGTTCTTATTTTTAGCCCCTCCCACATGTTTCTCAGTATATCTATCCCCCTCAGTTTCCATCTCTGTCTACATAATTTAGGATCATGAAGGTACCTCAAAATGGTACCTCAAAAACTTTCTGGAAACTAAAAACAAAAAAGTGCTGAGACTAAAACTAACTAAATATTTCTCTTGACATCTTTCAGATAAAGCCAGTAATCCCAGCTGCTTTTCCTCCAAACAATCTGATGAAGAGGAACCTTGTGTTGGGGTCAAGATTGCTCAGAACAAAGGTGGGCAACAACCCTCCCTTCTTCTGCTTCCTAATCTGTCTATTCTTTTCTCTATTACTCTACTAAGACTTCTAGCTCGGATCCTTGGGAGTCTTCCATTTATTGTAGTCGTTGATGCATGAATTGTGTGTCAGATCGAATCTTTTCTAAAAACCTGTAGCTGCGAGCAGTTGGATTTATGATCTGCTGTAAGAGATAAGAGCTACTTTTATATATTATGTTATAGTTTTAAGGTTTATTATGGGAATGAATAGGCGTGACTGTGCCACACTTACTGTACAGTGTGGTCAATGATCCATCAACCTCAGTTTTTGGTCTGATCACCCTCGTTTCTGTTTTCTCTGCATTCTGCATTCTTTTGTTTCTCTTAATGGAAGAACGAGCTAACATGGAGAAGAATTTAAATAATTTTGTAGTTATATCAAACCATATTTGATGTTTAATGTGCAGTTAAGGATCACCAATCACAACACCACATGAATAGAAACCATGCAATATACAAAATATTATTTTTGCTTTTAAAACTGAAAAACTTACGTTACATTATTATATTACATATTACATATTGTTACATATTGTGCTGTGAGTGTCTGTAGCTCCGTGTGTAAACAAAGGCCTCATCACCTTCACAAAGTTTGCTTTCATTTGTCAGATCGATATTAACTAGAAAGTTTTTGTTCTCCGGACAGTATATGGGAATACAAATGGAGGTCTATGGTGACAGTAGTTGTGCTGGTCAGACTTGTTTAAGTGGAGACAGGAACACTGTACTGAGCTTACTGTAATTGTGGACTGAAATGTAAGAGATATCACTGAGCTGAATACATGAGAGCTTCGCCTTTATGTGATCTTTATAACCAGGTGGTTAATGGTGTGGTTTTGGTCTTGAGTATTTGACCTATAGTGGTCGAGTGTTTTTTTGTTGTTGTTTTTTTACTTATATACTCTGTGTACAGTATTTTGAACCATCACATACCATATATAGATTACATTTAGGCTACCGTTAAAATGTTTGGGGTTAGTAAGATATGTTTTTTTTTTAAGAAATTTATATCTTTTAGTCAGCAAGGATGAATTTAATTGATCAAAAGTATGTTATAAAATGCAGGATCCAAAAAAATTCCCAGCTGACCTGCCTAGATCTTTACATCATAAGTTATACACTGACAGCTCTTGAGTGATTGTTGTAGATACTGTTGCTATGGCAGGTTGATGTTCAGATGTCATGTCAGTGAGGAAAGTATTGGATCACCGGAATCACCGGAAGTGATCCAAGCAGCAAAGCAGAAAATTTGACTTCATTACCTGCATCCAACAGAAAGGGCATCAGTATTTACACAAACGTCAGGTTTGAGTTGAGTTGTGGCTATCTGGGATGTGTCAAGAAGGTTGTACAACACCAAATGCTCAGGACTCTTCTCTGTCTCCACTCGATGTCGAAAATGAGATTAAAGTAAATCAGATCTGCAGTGGAATCTGGTAAACAGTTTAATAAACTTGTAAGGTGTGGCAGTCCGGTTCATGCAGTTTACATGTTTAAGAATACTTGTGTGTGTCCATTTATCATTTCCCACCCTTGAATGATTGCCATTCAATCTGTGCCTCTCATGTGAGAGCTTCATTTAATTTTAGCCTGTTTATCCTGAGTCCATTTGAATTTTCCTCTCAGTATTTTGTAACATGAGAGTGCTTGTGTGCCACTAAGACAAGAGGGTTTGGAATGAGACTGATGCTGCTCAAGGCTGTTGAAGGGGCACCATAGACCTTGGTCAGGGTTCTGCCATATTTATTTTTTTACCGGAATGAAGATGAGGTTGTGAGAGCTAGAAGTACAATGCGTTTAATGGATTGTACTGCTTTTTAACAACATGCCAATTGTTCAGCTGATGAAACTTGCCAGAAAACTTACAGTAGACAAAAACTCTACAGAACAGTTTTGAAAATGACATCTGATCTATGACCTTTTCACAGTGCGGGCCATTATAAAGAAAGACTATCTCACACAGCCTAGTTTTCTTCAATGTAAAATTCAGTGTGTCATCCGCTCTGACTAAGGTCTGTTGCATTTCTTCCTCATTTATACCATCAAGTTATTTCATCACGTGCCTTACCTTTACAGTCAAACTCCGATTCCCACTCCATTCAACAATATTCACACTGGATTGTGCTCTGAAGGTTTTAAATGGATAGTTCACGCAAAAATGAGAATTTTGTAATTATTTACTCACCCTAACCTTCTCCAGAACATAAAAGGAGAATTTTTAAAGAATGGCTTTTCAATGCAACAAAATATATTTATATTTTTTTGTTTTATATTTAATTTAGATTTGTGTAAGTTTATTTTATGTTTAATATATTTATTACAAATAACATTTAGTAGACTCTTTGTTATGACAATGTTGGACAATCCTGAAACAGAAAAAATAATTTTAATCCGAAATGATGAAGAAATTATTATTTTATTTGCACTTTATCTCATTACCTGAAATCATATTCATATGAGAATTTATTATTCATTTATTTATCATTTCGAGGTGGCCATTAACACACAGCACTATGTACATTATAACATCTAGTGGATTGTATGCACAATTAATGTAAGTGTTGTGCTTGAGTGCAGTATGTGTGTGTGTGTGTTTGGATGGAGGGAGGGGCTGTTTCCTCGTGCCTTTGTGGCAGAGTTTCAGTCAGTCTGAGGTTTATAGAAGACCGGAAGGCTTGAATGCTGATAACTGCTGTTATATTTCTCATTGCTCTGGGAATATTTGGCCTCATTTTGACGGACAGAAGGTGAGATTACTTTGGCTTGACAATGATCACAGTCTTACCCCTGCTAGTACTGTTTTCATTGGTTAACATGGTCTGTTTAGATGTTGTTACAGTATAATTAAACTTGGCAACAGCACATTAGTGGAGGACGCTGGAAGTGCTTTTATGTATCTTCACACAAATATGTTATTCTTTCTTCTCTGTGACAGTGGTTACTTTGAAACTTAACGTTTTTTTATAGAATAATTGAGACCAGAATGCGTTAGTGAATATTTAATATGATATTTTAAGAATCCGCTTCAAATTTCTTCTACATAGAGATGTCAATCTCAGACATTTGGTCACCTGTCAGCTATATTTTTGATTTTCTGATGGATTTGTTTTGCCAACATGGATGAATCGTCTGGCACCATTGCGTGGTTAAGAAAATGCATTTTGCATATGTTCATTTCTAACTTCCTTCACGTTTATTTATTGCCTGTCTGTGTTCCTCTGTTGCATGACAAGCTCTGAAAACTTTTGCTAACTACTTCTGCTCCTTATGGTCAGTTCCCACCTAAGTTTGCAAACTAAATGAGCTGTTCTTATCTGTTCTGTATTGGTTGGTACTTTCACACAAGGTTTTTATTGATAGTACAGTACCAAAATGCAGCCATATTCAAATATACGCTATGGTGGGTTTCCCATAACTGTAAATTGTACTATTCAGATTAAGGTTGATTTATTATGTTGCAACTAATTAAAACTGGAATTTATGTGTCAGATTTCCTTGCACAGAAAGGTAAACACATCTGGAATGTTTTAGTGACCAAAGGCTAGACTTTTTTTTTTTTTTTACTGGAACAAACTGCTTTTATTAAACTCAGATGTTGATCTGATTTAAGCCATTATCTTGATTCGGGCTCTCTGTATATGTCAGGTCAAACCACATACCTTTTTTTCATTTCTATACTTAGCCAGGAATGCCAAAGTTGGCACACGCCTGTGTTTTAGACTCGGAATGCGGAACATTTGTGCTTTTTTCCCATGCAAACATTTTAGCAGCAATTATTATCATAGCTTACATTCACTAGACCACACATGGTTTGACATCAACCTGGCTCACTTTTCAGCTGCAAAAACCCAGCGACACATTTCTAATAGATCTGCATGCAGGTGTTTGTCTGTTATGATGTGTATGTTTCGATTTCATCTGCTTTCCCAGACAGAGAATTTTGGGAAGAGGTTGCCATGGTAACTCAGAGGCTAGTTATCCAGTGTATTATTCACCTGAGGATGCTTTCATTGTTTTGTTTGCTTACAGTATGCTTACTTAAACACACTGAGGTAGACAATAGCCACGTTCACACATCAATGCAATTTTTTCACGCAAAGTTGCCAAACTGAATTTTCCAGTTAAATCTACTACATCTGCAGCAGCTTTCAGTCTTTTATTCGTATACCATTCACACATCAGCACCAAAATTTAGTTACAATTCTGTTGCTATTTGCTGGAATTGGCCTTTAAACACTTTCAATGGAAAAGTCATTGGGATAAAGGTTAAAAATACTAGTAATTTGTCTTGTGTGAGATAACATATAACATAAAACATAACATAACTGACAGAGCCAGAGTTTCAGTGAGACATCTCTTCCAGTAATCTGTCGAATCATTTCTTAATCTGCTCAATGGAGAATAGCTCTTCATTTCAGCATCTATCCAGTTTGATGACATTTCTTTCCACAGCATAGATAATTATAATTTTCGAGTCCTGTGTTACAGGTTTACAACTAAATGGCCTGGAGTAACTGAGTCTGCATACTTCTTATGTTAGAGTCAGTCGTCTAACCTTGTACTTTTACATTGTTTTTCACACATAGCCTCAGAACTTTTCCGGTAATGTTGCAACTTCTTCATTTTAATAACAGCCCTCGTCACACAGGACCTCTAAATAGAAAAATGTTGATGAATGTACTGATAAGACTGAGCATGTGAAAGCACTTAATGTTAGTCAGAATTAAATACCAACAATTTCTGCATGTTTCTGGAGGTATTTTGATGCTTAGAAAGAAAGTACTGTCATTGTCTCTTTTGTCGCACTTTTATGAATTTTTTATTATTATTTAATTGTATATATTAATGCAAACCCAATTTTAATGGAAATGTTAGTGGTGCTTGTCCCTGCAAAATTCACTGTCACAGTGCTACAGTGATGTTGATGGTTGCTAGGGTGTTGTGAATGGTTGCTAGGTGTTTGCTTGGGCCAGAGTTTAATACATAAGCTCCAGGCGTTTGTTCAAATACAGAAAAAGTTATTATGTACACACAGGCAATAAATACATACTAATTTTAAGTGTTAAATGGCCTTGAGGATATAACAAAAATATTTATTTTAGACACTGAAATTTTCTGATATCGGTGAAATGCAGGCATTTAGAGGCATTCTCTGGTCCATAAAAGAAAGCTTGTTTCAATCCTGGCCACAAACTGAGCCAAAACTGAGATGAATGGGCCAATCACACATCACGCTGTCCTTACACCACCACCATATATTTACTTCCAGCACAACAGCATCATTCATCCTCCGACATGGACAGTCCCATGCAGCCTATTGGCCTAAGATGTTTGCAGAGAAGAAAAGGGGGCCAGATGAAGCTGGGAAGGCCATAGAAAGTCTCTCTTTGTGCTCCCTAATGCATTAATAGTCCCATGCTTTAATATAACAAGACATGGGCAAGACATCATTTCAGGGTGTCCGCGGGTCCTTAAAAAGTATTTATAGCAAAGTCAGAATTACCTCCTCTCCTAGGTTCACGAAACGGTTGTCTATAAAATGCATTGCTGTTCTGTTGTAAGTAATCTTAAAGATTCCTAAATGCATCTACTTTCGGAAGGCCAAATAAAGTGCTTTTACTTTCGCACTGAAACACACAGCGTCTCCCTGACATGGCTGCATCAACACTAACTGCGGTTACTGAAACCACATCTTTTTTCTTTGCGTGAACATTTGGGCCGCATTATGCAAATATTTCCACATAGTGAGGTAGATATGTGGGGGCGTGTTAGAACGAGTCTTAACTTTGATAAAGAATATCTCTTTGGTTTTGAGACTTTAGTCTTTGCAACTTCAGGGATCTTATCTATGCACAATCAGCTTGTAACACTCCAAAGAAAAAGGAAAACTTGAAATCGCATCATATGACCCCTTTAAAATGTCTTAAATTCGGATTCGATGGGTCTTAATTATTTTTGGTCTCATTACCGCTAAAATATCTTAATCTCTAATATCTCTATCTCTAATGACTGTTTACAATCATTGGACAGACCGAAGATGTTTTCTTCCCGTGGTAAGTTACTGTGTCATCAGAGAGAATTGCAGTAAGTTAGCAGAATACAGAATACAAGCTCGTGCTGAGGCTCACTCTGTTTGTCTCGAGACTTCAGAACAAATGAGCGTGACCGCACACATAAACTCAGAAGAAACACACTGAGGTAAAAATTAAAAATGTTTAGTTTATTCATAACATGATATAGTTAAAGAACACCATGACAAGTGAGCTATTTTGCTCAATATTGTCACGACGCAAAAAAAAGAAAACATTCAAAACACCTACAGAGTGCACGAATTATGTGAAGTCTAATGCGCGTGCGCATTTACAGTGCGCTCTTTCACTGCATGATTCAGTCTATTAAAATACATTCAGAATGATCACAAATTCAAGACATGGGGGCAGAAAATGTGTATATTTATACCACTTCATATAGTTAATCAAGTTCACACGGAAGAGTGCCTTTTTTTTCTCCAAAAATTACAGTATACAAATGTGATATTGATTTTTTACAACAGTTCAATAAACTAGAAGTTTTAAGTGAAGTGAAGTGACATGTGGCCAAGTATGGTGACCCATGGTATTGAAGGTGGGAGAGAGCGCTGTACATTCACTCCCCCCACCTACAATCCCTGCCGGTATGAGACTCGAACCCGCAACCTTTGGGTTACGAGTCCGACTCGCTAACCATTAGGCCACGACTTCCCCAGAAGGAATTATTAAGAGACTTACGTTTTAGACACCATATTGCCTGTTTTTGCACTATTTAGCCAACAAAAATAATTCCAAACAAAGCCACAGCGCTGTTTTGCGTCTCTGAGTAACATGACGGTGTTTCGTTCCCGAATGAATCAACTGTTTAAATGATTCGGTTCAATTGCAATATCTTATTATTCTAATTCACTGATTAAATGTAAGAATTTGACTCAAAAGATAATGCACACTTATACAAAAATGGCTTTATAAAGGTAAAATGCCCATAAAGGTAAAAATCTATTTAAACTTATTGGAAAAGATTAATTTCTATCTGACCACCACACAGAATATGAAGAATATCAAAAACTTTAGGAGTCAGCTGTCCACGAACGTCCTTAAGATACCAGCATGATAACACACTCAATCAGTTGAATGAATGACTCAATGACTCACTCATCAAGTGACTCACTCACTCAGGTTAAAAATAGGCCTTTGTAAAAGTAAATATGCAGATTTAAGTATGTAAAAGATGATAGAACACTGATGAAAATATTGCTTCAGAATAAATTGTTTACTCCACAAAAAAGTGATGCAGTTATTTTGCTGGGACATTAAAAGTTCGTTGTATATCGTAGTTATAAATACCATTTATTACAGCAATTATATTTTGTTTTCTTTTTAATTTATACACATTAAATATTACATATATGTATGTAATAAAATGTGTATTTCCATGACAGGTTTAGGTCTTAAATTTCATGTAAGGTGGTATTAAAAAGGTCTTAAAAAGTCTTAAATTTAACTTGTTCATGTCTGTAGAAACCCTGCATTTGCATGAGTGCCTGTAACAAGACAGTTTACAGGGGAAAGCGACAGACTTGGGTGTCCTGTTCATTGCACCGAAATAAGGAATGGTCCGTTGGTGTGAACGCTAATATAGTTATTGTAATTTTTATTTTTATAGTTATCGTTCTTTGTGCGAATATACGCCTGGACTCTGTTGTGAGGTAAATACATGCAGTAGTCAAACAGGATGAATAACCTGAAAGAGGAATCTAAACCAGGATTGCACCTACATAGTTTCAGTGGGTGCATGTACACCTACATTTCCTTAATGTGTTATGACTGGAGTGTGTTTTGACTGTAGTGTGCATGAAGTCATAGTGGCCTTGCAGATCTTTCAATGGCATTTTATCTTGTCTGCAAACTTTATGCATTTGTTTTATTTCATGTTGTATGGTAGAGCACAGTACTTTTAGAGGAAAGTCACTTCATTCAGTGGCTGTATTTGCAGCTCTACTGTGCCTAACTAAATTGGGAAATACCTAAATGTAATTAATGTAATAATTTAAAGTTTTCTTTTCTGTTGACGTCACCACACAGGCAGATAGTATTAGCTAATAGAGACTGCATACTTGCAGTTACTTTGAAAACTTGCTTTTCTTGAAAACTGGCTTCATTGTGATATGTAGCATTCAAGATTGAATCAGTTCCCATCCTTAGTTTTTTTCTTGTTGCATATCCCGCTTCACATGAAAATACATTACGGAAACAAAAGGGGAATTTTGAAAGGGAATTCACATTAACATTTTATAGTATCTTAACATCAAAATCTTTTGCTCCGCCTCTGAAATTACTTTACTTTTTTCATGACATACCAGGTTCTCTTATTTTACTGTCCTCTTATTTTTTTTTGTCCTCTTCCTCCAAAAACATGCCAAAGAATGTTTTTGTGATCCAGACATTTTATGATGGAAAAACCCACGTCCCATCTTTTTATCTTGTTTTAAATATGTCACATTATGGAAGTACAATGACTTGCAAAGGCATTTCATATTGACTTGATATGATACTATATATTATTTAAGAGATCAGTGTCATTATTTTTAGTGGTTACGTACATGTCTGTTATGTATTGTTTTTTTTATTCTTTTTCCAAAAGGCCTTGTTAGTTTTTATGAGAGCAGATTGTATCACTAGTCCAACTTTTGCAGTAAAAAATAGCCTACTGATATTTTGTTCTTGTTGTTTTGGAAAGTTTGCTGTTTTTCTTCATGTTTTCTTCATGTTGGAACCAAGATCATTTTCATGCATTTTTTTTCACATTTAAACGGATCACTGTGTTGCACATGAAAAATTCAGTTCTGTGACATTTTTAGATCTGAACTTTTCAAGGTCAGCTGTCATTGTCGACAGATACGTGCGTGCCTTACTGTATTTGCCAAAGCTGTTTTTCAGGAAACATTTAGTGGTTGAGGCGAACAAAAAAGCTTCCTCATAGGTTGAATACTGATCATCTGAACAATCTGGTTATTTGTTTGTTCTGCATTCGACACAGAGGAACTTGTGGTTATTTTTAGTATCTGTTTCAAGTTTAAGTCACTATTAGTTTCAAGGCCACTTTTATACCATCCCTGACTGATATCAGGAGCACAAAAAACAGACCTCTTGCATTTCACTTCTGCACAGAGAGTGTAATTACCAGAACACTGTTAGTACTGCATGTTTTTGCTACTCAACTGAAGTTTGCACACAGTATGACTTCTAAGCAATTAGATAAAACAAACTGCTTTTGGAACTGCTACCATACCATTTATTCCCATCCTTTTTTTCTCTCCTGCAGCCGTTGCTAGCCGTAGTTCTGATGAGCAAGATCATCGCAATGAGAAGTTGAGTCATGGATGTAGATTCAGCAATAAGAGCCTTACTGGAGTAAAT